TGCTTCCTGGTCCTCCCACCTTCTCTGACCTTGACCGCTGTGCTTTCGGCTTATCATTCTGCCAGCGCTCTTTAAGTCAAATTATTGTTTCCCAATGGAAAAAGCAGATTTTTCACATCTGTTTATTGTTGGATGTTGGATGTGCCTTGTTATCTTGAAAACATTTCATTTAGAAGAAATGGACAGAAGATCTCAAATTGCTTACATGTGTGAGGGTGCAGTAGTGTCACATGAAGAAAAGGCTCTGTCTTCAGACTTCACACAGCCCCATGCTGTCTGACCACGGTGGCGGCCGCCTTAGCCCCCCAGGGCATGGAGGTGTGTGAGTGTCTGTGGTCACAGATGCAGAGGTTTTTAAAGATCACTGAGGGCTGTGAAAGTGGATGATTTGATGAGTAACAGCCTACCTGAAAGCTGTGATGGCTACACTGATGTGTGAAGGTCACTTGTGCACAAGCCCGCTGGCGGGGAGGAGGGACACGTACCTAAATCTGTATTTCAATGCCGTCTCTCACTGCATCCAGAGCACACCGCTCCTGAGCTAAAGCCAGCTGCAAGGACCCAACGCTTATCATACCTTCTTGTAGGGTCATGTTGCAACATGGGTGCTGCCCCGTCATTATTTCATGTCTTTTTTGAGTCATGAAAGACTGTCTCCTAGAAGGTCAAGTTATTCCTGAAAATAGAGCGACCCACACTCAGTCTCAAAACTAAAAGAGAATAAGCAGAAAAACGAAACTGAAAGTAAATTCTGAAATGAAGCTGCCAGCTATTCCCTCTCTGAGAGCCTCACTGATGCTAAGCTTGTGACAGCCCCTGGGTGGCTCTGCACGGGGCTCATGGCCAGCACCGGACTCTGGTCCATGCCCAGGGCAGGTGGCCTGAGTCTGAATGGTAGTTATAGCACTACGGCTGCCTGGGTGGCATCTGGTGACAAGGTGTTTTACTAAATCCAAATACCCTTGTTGGACATGTGTACTTTCAAAGGAAACTTTAAATAAGCAAAACCAAAGTGTTATTTTTTTAAATGGGGAGGGGAAAGCCATTATTGAGGAATAATAATGACGATTGGTAATTAGGGATATCGAATCTTGAACAAACAGTGCCAGGAAATCCTGCCTAAAGTGTTAAGCGACAGCCGTGAATGCCATCCCCTGGGGCGGCACTGAGCCCTCCCTACAGGTGTGGCTGTGAGGGGACCTCGGCCAGGGAAGCCCAGAGGATGGCTGGGTGGCTGAGGCTTCCCGCTGTGGGTCATTCCAGCTTCCTGCCTTGTTCCAACTGGCAGACTTAGGGAAGCAGAGCGAAGAGGGACAAGTGTGGCCCCTGGTCAGCTGTCGAGCACTCCTCGCAGAAGCTCACAGAACCGTCAGACAGCACGGAAGCGTGTGTGCGTCTCAACTCTTTCATAAGCTGAAATCAAGACATTCCCCCAGATCTCTGCCTGCGAAACAGAACAGACACTGTGAGCGGTGTTTGTTCAGGATGATTTCTTAATGGCATGCAGTTAAGAGAAGAGCAGAGGCTGGATCAACCCAGTTGGAACAGCTTAAAATGGTGAAGAAAGACGGGGTGTCAAGAGCCTAAGCGCAGCCAAGCTGTCTTTGCAGCCCCAGCATGGACACCCCCTTATAACTGATAAGATGTGGACACCCCAATTATAATGTATAAGGCTGCACAGCTGAGAAAGCAACTGCAAGGAATTGGAGAAACATAAAAACGACAGGAAGCCACCAAGAGGTCCCAAGTGCAGAAGCACCACAGCCATGATGACGCACATAATTTACATGGTTGAACGTGAAACAAAAAGAGGTGATTTTATCCACCGGGGAAAATGGAAGCATTTCCACCGCTGATACAGAAAACTTCCTACAGATCCGACATACTTGGTTTATTCATGTGAATAAAACTATTACAGTTTTTTAAAAAAATAATAATTTTCTTAGAAACACAGTAGAGTCGGTTCAGGAGAAACCGTGGCATAAAATGGTTCAAAACTTCTGCAAACAAAATTAAGGTGCCCAGGGATGCGGAGGGGCTGCCCACTGTGCTGGGGTGAGCTCGCCTCTGGCTCCCATCCAGGGAGTGTCGTCAGGCGCCCTCTCCTCCCACCACTGACTTGTCCTGAGAACTTGCACAGGAGCTCAAAACCGGTCTCTGAGAATCAGACCCTTTCGAGAACTTGAGGAAAGGCACCGGCCATTGTGCTCAGAAATCCTGGGAGGGCAGCCCACGAAGTGGCAGCCTCGGGATGGTCCCAGCTCTCCTGGAGCAGGGCGCCCACCCCTCTCTGCCTTCGTGGCCTTGTGTAGATAGCCATCTACCTTGGGCTACACTGTGTTAGAGTGTGAAAATACGTGCACCAAGGCTTAACAGTGCAAGAAAACTGCTTGTTGTAGATACTGACTTGTCAAAATGCTGCATTTAAAAGCTGCATAAACTGTCTGCCCACAGTCATGTTAAATATACAGAGAGTGAGCAGAAGCAAAAGTGAGGGGCTTATTCTGGTTGTTATCTCTGGGTAGTCCTGTCTTTCCTTCTGTGGTTGTCTCTGTGTAACTTGGGTGCACACACCTCAGTCCTCACAAAACCTCTCCCGTTGGCACCATGTCTCTGAGAGACGCCTCATGAGCCCTTGACAGAGAACCCTGCTGCTGCTTCGGCTCCTCCGCCCAAGGTGACCATCAGGGAAGCAGATGGAGGGCTGCACAGCCCAAGGGTGAATGGGCCAGCTTCACAAATCCTTCGTTTTACCTCAAGACTCAGGAGAAAATTAATGGTTAGTTAGCTCCTACCCAGAAATGCTGTGGGAATAGAACACAGGACACAGGACATTCTTCTCTGCCCACAACCCTGAGCTCTGTTCACAGAGCATCACAGGCCATGCTCCCCAGGGCTCTGCTGCCCCACCTGACACACCGGGGACCTTTCTGGCCATCTGTGCTCCTCCCTGCAGACAGCCGTGCTGTGCCACCCGAAGAAAGAAGATCATGGCTCCACCTTTTCCTTCACAGCTCTTTTTCCCCAGCCACCAAGGGAGAGCCTCTTAGACCCCAAAGTTTTCCACAGAATTTTCAGTTTTTGCTTAAACGCCCTAGACAGGAAGACAAATATGAGTGAAAATCATCAAGTCATTTGAGAGTTCAAAAGGCTGTCTCCTGCAGTATCCCGGGGTCTTCCAGCCAAATGCATCCTTGTTCCTGGACCACTGACCCCCTGGCTGTCTCCTGCCTCGACACCCCCAGCCCAAGTGTGTGTCTGCAGTTCTCTTGCACGTGGACTTGTGCAAAGCCAGCTGATGGAACATGTGAGGCCCGACACTGGTGCCTCTGGGCGGAGCCTGGACCCAACTGCTTCCCGCCTCCATCACTGGCCAGCATGCACGGCCGACTAGGAACACTTTTATAACCAGAAAAGGGAAAAGGTTGCTTTGAGAGATAACCGCCTCAAGCATCAACAGCTGCTAACAAATTGAAGGAAAGACGGCCAGGCGTCACGAGCCTCCTATTAGAGTTATCAAAATACCGGGGCTGCCAAAAAAAGTGACACCCCTGGAGTGGGTTCCTCTTGTGTTTTTCGCAAAAAATGAAAAATACAAATTTCAAATAGTGTTTTTTTTCCTAAAATGTTTCTTCATTTGGTTGCACCCCTCTTGGGTTTTGGGGGGTGGGGTTGGGTTGGTGGTAGAAGTTCTGGACCCGGCCAGGCTCCAGGACCCAACAACAAATTTTAAGACCATGCAAGGACAGAAGGACATGGTTAAAAGTACCCATAAGATATTAATTGGAGGAACCTCCTATCAAGAAAAAAGAAAAAAAAAAAGGGGGAAAAAAGCTATAGTCCAGTTTCTGTAACAAATGAAACAAATAGAAAAATACACGAGGTTAAGAACAAGCCTGTAGACCACAGGAGAAGAAAGACACATCAACCTGTGGCAGACCATGGGCTTCATTGGGGTTCTGATTCAAACAAGCAGATTAGACCGTGACATTATACACAATTGCAAATGGGACACTGAATGTGTGGTGATATTATGGGATGATTGACAATTATTTAGATGGCATAATGGTATTGTGGTTATGTTAAAAAAAAAAAAGAAGAAGAATCCTAATCTTTCAGAGATGCAGATGAAGACATTTACAGGTCTGGAACGTGCTTCAAAATGCTCTAGTGTCGGGGGCACATGTTGGTAATTGTTGGACGTTGGGTGGATGAGACAAGGAGGGACTTTATGTTTGTATTTGAAGTTTTCCATTAAAAAAGCAGTTAGAGGGAGAACTGATAAACGGTGCTAAAGGGCATTATTTCCTGAATGCCAGGGGAGGGGGAGAATGACAATCAGGAAAGCTAATGAAGGCAGTGAGAAGCCGCTGGGGCCACGGAGAGGCCTCTGGGGCAACTGAAAATAACTATGTACGTGTAGACTGCAGATGGAAGCGATGCCAGCCGCTGCCCGGACAGGCATGAGCGCCTCTCAGAAAGGTGGCACCGCCCGTCACTGCAGGTCTCTTTGTCCCTTCCCAGCTGGTCTGTGGGGAACTGGAGCACCTGCAGCCGGACGTGTGGTGGCGGCACGCAGAGCCGAGTGGTCCAGTGCTTGCGGCGAGCACACTACAGATCTGAGCGGGTCTCGGCCAGTCTATGCCCACAGCCCGTCCCCTCCAGCCACCAGGCCTGCCACCCCCAGAGCTGCCCACCCACTTGGAGCACTGGGCCCTGGGCAGAGGTAACTCGGGCAGGGTTGGTATGGGGGGCGGCGGCTGGACACCCCCGTGGAACACAGCTGGGCTCTCGCCAGGCCTGGCAGGGCCTGTGGCCCGGGACCCCCAGCATGGCTGGGAGCTGATGCTCACTGTCCCTATGCAGTGCTCGCGAACCTGCGGGAAGGAGTGGAGGAAGAGGTCCGTGGCCTGCAAGAGCACCAGCCCCTCGGCCAGGGCACAGCTGCTGCCCGACGTCCTCTGCAGCTCAGAGCCCAGGCCCAGGACCCACGAAGTCTGTCTGCTCAGGCGCTGCCACAAGCACAAGAAGCTGCAGTGGCTCGTGTCCGCCTGGTCCCAGGTGGGTGCGCCAGGTCCAGACACAGCCGGGGCGACCACCCTCCCTGTGCTGCTGCCTCTCCTTACCTGCTGTCACTGCTCCCCGCTCCTTCTCCACCCTTTTCCTGTACGTCTCTGCCCCCCACCCTGTGGGCTTCAGTCATTCAAGGCACCCCACCCCCAGACATGGCTTCCAGCTTCCAGGTCGTGTCCTGGGGCAGCCCACTCAGTGACTGCACGAGGTCATCACTCAGCACCAGAAGCAGCACCCCCCGCTGCACATGTACAGGGCTGCCTCAGGGCATGTCAGAAGCTCCCTAACCGCGCTGTGCATTGTCTCAGAGGTGGAGGTGTCAGTAAACCCCAGAAAGACACCAGAAAGCCAACAGCACAGAGTGACAGGAACACCGCACTGCACGGGAAACCTTGGGAACGGGGTTAAGAGGCCTCATCCTCAATCCCGGGGGCTATCTGTCTGCGTTCCCGCAGCAGCTGTGGGAAGAAAGTCCCTGGCTCCCTGACCCCGCTCCTCGGGCAGACAGGCACCTCCCTCCAGCCCACATCTGGAGTGACTGTGTTTGGGATGGTGGTGGGAATCAGGCAACAAAGGGGTGTCTGGACCAAGCAGGGCACGTAACCCCATGAGACACCGGCCCAGCTTTCCACGGAAAAGTAAAAGCATGGTCGCTCACTGAAGCAAGCCTGCGGTGGCTGAGGTGACGCCAGGTTCTGTCCCCAGGCCAGAGGAATGCCAGGGTCTCCTAGGACTGACTCACAAGGTCCTTAGAAAAGATGTTTCTTCCTGTGCGTTTCCATAGTGACTCTGGCTGTGTGATCTGTGGGTGGCGTCCAGGTGGGAAGTCCTCACCCTGAATATTAAGCACACGTGCACACATACATACACACACTCACACACACATGCGCAGCTTCTCTCTGAGGCCATACCTCAGAGTCCCCCAGCTCCGTCTTCATCGTGGCATCAGGACACCCACCTGTAAGCCACAACTGAGCATGGGAGTGCCAAGCCAGAACCCTGGCAGGTGTGGTCACCTAGACTCCAGACACTGCAGAAGAGATGGAATCCCCCATCAGGCTCAGTGTCACCCACTCCCCCCAGCCTGGCCCTGGGACCTGCTCAGCGTCCCTCCGAGCCCCGCCCTCTGGTACAGGGTGCCTTGTGCTTCCATGTTCTCTCTGTGTTACCTGCAGCTGTGGCCCCTGCCTGGCCCGCTGGTTCGCCCAGGGCCCCTCTGCACACACCAGGGTGGCCAGCAGCAGTGCTAGCTCAGGCCTGGAGCACATCTCAGCGGGGACCCAGTGCTCACTCTCTTCACAGGAGCACTGGGCTTTCTGGGGGAAAAAGGGTGGCTGTGACCCTGTCTGGGTTTGGCCTGAGTTAGGCACCAGCTTCACGCTGCAGAAAGGTGTGGTGTCAATCCTCCAGCTCCGAGCTTCACCTCACGTCTGATGTGTTAAATGTCAGTGGGTTCTAATACCAGTTACAGCCCAGCGCCTCCATTTCCCAATGAAATCATAGCTTTGGAATTTCTCCCGTCAGGGTTTCTGGTTGCTCTGCCTCTCCTTATGCCCCCAAAGCTAGGCCACCACGGCCTCAAGGTCCTCCTTTTTATGACGGAGTCCCTAATGCCTTAAAATGCCAATAAATTCCATTGAATGTTTACACTTGTGTAAATGTTTGCTCTGATAGGATCAGAAGGTAGTTTGACTCAAGGATTTTGTAAAAGAGACAGTCACCTCAGAAGAGAGGTTTTTCACCCATTTCTTTTGTTTTATTTTCAGTGCTCTGTGACATGTGAAGGGGGAACACAGAAAAGATTCTTAAAATGTGCTGAAAAGTACGTTTCTGGGAAGTACCGGGAGCTGGCCTCCAAGAAGTGCTTGCACTTGCCGCAGCCCGACCTGGAGCTGGAACGCACCTGCGCCCTGTTCCCCTGCCCCAAGCACCCCCCGTTTGCTGCCGCAGGGACCCCGCAGGCCAGCTGGTTTGCCTCACCCTGGTCCCAGGTAGGGCGGCTCTGCGTTCAGAAGGGCGGGTGGGCGGAGGCCTTGCTCCTGACCGTGGGGGTTTCTGTGGGGGTGTCAAGCCCGCTGAGCCCATCCCTGACCCTTCTCTCCAGAGTAGCTACGGGTGCCCACATCCCTGGGTATGTGTGTGGCTTTCCAAAGTGGTGCTCTCCAAACATTACCCAATCTTTTAGGGCACATGTGCTTTGCTCTAAATCATCACCAATTAAGTGTAGGAACATGCGATGTTTTTGGTAAAAGCTGGGCAGAATTCTCTAGAGAGGAATGAATGGGGAGGAAATAAGATATAAGGAATAAGTAGGTGGTTGTGAGGTTATATTAGGTTAATCACGAATTGTCGCGTCGTACCTGGCCTCTCGGCCAGTAGAGCAGCCCCGGCCCACGGAGGTCTGCAGGCTATGTGTTGGGGCTTTGGTGTCCGCACCTCCCTGCTCCTGCCACACTGCCTTTGACTTTAGAGAGAATCCCACCATTCCCGGTGTTAACCCACCCTCCTCCCTTGCCCTGTCTCTGGCCTTGGGTGCCGCAGCCCTCACACTGTGCCCCCTGTGCTCTTAGCCTGTGGATCTGCTCCTGTGCCTTTGTTTCTGATTTTGCCCTGTCCCATGGCCACCCTCACTCCTCTGGCTCCAGGAGAGGCTGACATGTCCTTAGGCCATCTCTGCTGGCTAAACCCTGAGCACTGGCACTGCTTAGGTCTGCCCTGGGGGGGCACGGTGCCTTGGTCAGTGCCCCCAGGGAAGGGAGGAACGTTTTCCAATTTTCTAATCTGTTGGCCAGGGAGCCAGCCTTTTTCTGTTTTGCACATTGGAGGCTCCATCTCTGATTTTCTCTTCTTTCTGAAGACATGAAAGTACAGAGAGAGTGACGGAGTGTGTGGTGGCGGCCAGACTCTGTGCCCCTCTGCAGTGGCGGCCAGCCTCTGTGTCCCCTCTGCGGGAAGGTCCTCACATGCTGTCCCTGGAAGGTGCTCCCAGGTTCCCTGCTGGGAGCCTCACTGCCATGCACAGGAATCAAGGCAGTGACAATGGCTGACACCTGCTGAGAGCCCCCACCCCCAACACCCCAGCGCCGTGCTAAGCATCATGGGGCTCCTGACTCATGGATCCTTCCAGCAGCCCTATGAGAGGGGTAACATCAGTAACAGAATTGCTTTACTGACCTGTCCCCTGGGCAGGCCACTCTATAGGCAAGATGGCACTCGTCTGCACCAGCTTTCCTGGAAAGAGCATCAGTTTCCAGCACTGGGAATCAGTGCCCATGAGGGGCAGGTGCTTGCTGAGCATGTCACCCGGGATCCAGGCACAGGAAGCCACTGAGTGGCCGAGCTGAGCAACCCAGTGTAACTCCATGTGCTTAGTCAGACTGGGCCACCAGCTCTCCCACCACCTGAGTCCCTCCTCACGTGTTTCCACGTCCTCCCAGCACGAGACTGTCTCCACCTGGAGGACCCCATCCACGCTTTATGGCCCATCTTTAATCCCTCCAGAGGCAACGTCCCTTGCCTGAGTCACCCTCCATGCTGCTGCACATGACTCCTCTCAGGGGGGACACCCCACCATGCTCACAGACAATGCCCTGCACTGAACAGTGTCCCCAAAACTCATGTCCACCCAGAACCTCAAAATGTGACCTTATTTAAAAAAAAAGGGCCTTTGCAGATGGAATCAGCTAAGACGAGGCCATCATGGGTTAGGGTGGACCCTAAACCCCATGACTGGAGTCCTTATAAGACCGAGTGAGGACAGACTCACACTGGGCAGAGGCTACATGTAGCAGGCAGAGCTTGCAGTGAAGAAGCACGCGGCACGGCGCCACAGTCCCAGCAGCGCCAACCTCTGGAAAATGCATGGCTAGACGTCCCTTACAGGCAAGCCCTGGGCCACAAGGACAGGAGGACAGTAGGAGCTGAATATGACAATACCATGTCACCCCAGGCTTCTCCAGCAGGGAGACATGGGGTTTGCAGGGGAGATCTCCAGGTTCGGTGCATCGCAGGCCCCTGATGCCAGGGGCGGCCGAGGTGACAGGCTGCTGGCCCTTCCACTCCAGGCTCTGCTGACTGCCCACAGGCTGGGGTCATCCTTGGTCCTCCTGCACCCATCCTCAAGAGACCACCAACACCACAAGTCAGCCATCCTCTCCCTTAAGTCCAGCCCTGATGGGGAAACACGTGAACAACGGTGACAGCAAAAATCACACATCATTATTACCTTTACGCCCAAAGGAAACAAACCAAAATGTGTATCAGAACCAATTTAATCTATGATGGAATCTTTCCCAGGATTAGTTAAACTTTTAGTAGAATAAAATTAGTTTAAAGTGCCCTCTGAACGATGCCCCTGCCTCTTTCTGCTGGAGCCCTCGCATGTCTCTGTGAGCCCACGTTGCTACTCATCAGTCAACTTCTTGACTAACCCTGATGTCCCAGCCTGGCCGCCGCCATCGCTCTGTGCCTCGGCCTCACTCCTGGTCCGGCTGTCTGAGTCCTGCAGAAGGAACTATTCTCGTCCTTGGACAAGAAGACGGACGCCTCCCACAGACCCCTGGCTAAGGTCCCAGCTTCACTTTGTTTCCGATCGTCTGCAAGCCCGGGGTAGCTCCTTCATTTATGAATGTATGAACCCCTCCCCAAAAGGTATCCACCTTAGAAATCGTTTCATTTGAATTATGCGAGCAGGGAACATTTGAATTATATCCTTTTCGAGCATTGCCTATTTTAAGTTGACAGAAAGCATCAATAGATACAAACTTTTCCCTTGAGTTTCCAGCGAGATGAAGTGACAGGCACGCTGAGGGTCTGAGACGTGTTTCCTGGGCAGGTGTTTTGCTTCCCCAGCCTCTTGAGATGTGTGGGTCAGAGACAATGACAGGTGGTGCCCCAAGGCCGTTCTTCTCTGTCCGTGGGGAAACCGAGGCTCCTGAAATGGGTTCCCCATCTTCTGGCGGCCAGGCCAGTGTTCACCCCACTCCACTCAATTCAGAGGCTCCAGGCAAATTTACAAAGAGGAAAACGGTTTCATCAGTATTTAGACAAAAGCATCACACCTAAAATATGTCTGTGATAGCTTTCACCACTCCAGTATACTCAGTCCATTTGTCTAATAAGTCTTTTCTGTCACACACTGCCTGAGGCTTTTATCCAGTGTGACCCATCTGTTATGCTCTGAGACTTAGCTTTTGGGGTTAATAACTCAAAGGGCTGTGTTTGCCGTGAGCACTTGTACCCAAGGCTCTGTGCCCTCAGACTGTGGGAAATTGTCAGGCTGAAATAAATGGCCAGAGACTGGCTGAACTTTGCCCCCAGACAGGTTTATTCTTATAACAGTTGAAAGACCCCAGTTTCCATTATTTGATCTGCAGGGTTTCTATTGACTTAAATGGCTTTACATATCATCACATTTAATGGTTTGCTGCCTGGTAAGACTGACTTAAATCATATGAGTCATTTGGGCTTAGGGACCAGTGGTTCACACGCTAATTTGGCCTGGGAATGGCTTAAGTGGGAACACCTGTTGGCCTTTGTGTCCAACTGAAAGACGACAGTGACCTTCAAGACCACACGGGAAAAGTTTCGGTCCCTTTACCAGATGACTCATTTAAATGTCCGCAGTCATGACAAATATTGGCACTAGACACGGCTTTTGTTAGATTAAATGTGACTGAAGTCAGCTCTGGAAAGAGAAGGAAAGGAAAGGGCATGTTTTGGTACGCTTCTGACCATTGGAGCAGAGGTCCGGCCCACAGCACCGGAGCGTCTTGGTTGGAAATGCAGGTTCCTGGGTCCCAGCCCGGACCTGCTGAGGCTCGAGGCCTGGGCGTGTGTCCCAGCGTTCTCGTTCAACAAGCCCTGGTGTGATGCACGTGTGAAAACCGCTGCTCTGGAGGTGAAGCCAACAGCAAGGGGTCTGGACAGACGGCCACGGCCGATGTCACTGGCCCTAGGTTGATGACCAGGTGGAAATGCAGGCCACGGTCACCATGCAGCACGCTGGCCTCCTTTGTTCGGCCGTCAGGAGGAGGGGGTTTCCCTGAGATGCTCAGGTTAATCCCGTGAAGCTGAGAAAGCAGCCACACGTGTGGCTTACATGGCCAGGTTCTCAACTCCCTTCTCACTGAGCGCCATGTCCCCAAAGGTGTCAGGTCATATGACTGCCCCCACACCTGTTGTGCCCACCTTCTCCGTGTCTCCACCCCAGGCGTCTCCCTGGTTGCCAAGGGCTCCAGGTGCCTCTGAGGCTCCGTCTGCTTCCAGTCTGCAGACTCGGTGTAGGAATTCTCAACAGTGGTGCTGTTTTGAGCCATTATATCCGTGATATTGATGAACAGCTTGCATATGTGTTTTTCTTCCTGGGGAGAAAAGTGGGAACTGCAGATCCCGGGGCAGAGTCTGGTGGGGGAAGGTGGGGGGGGTGCCAGGACCGCCCCCTGAACAGGAGGGGGTGACTGCCTGTGCTCCCCACTCAGTATGCAGTGCCTCAGACACTGCCGGCCATGGAAGGCGAGGGATCCCTATTTGTGAATGACTGAATCAGTGACAAAAGGAACCAAACCACGCATTAATTCTCTCGGCACTGTTCACGTATGTGATGACAAATGGTGGCCAGATCTCTGATTTCTAATTGAGGCATAATACCCTTATCAAGAATGGAATTCTGTCCCGGCTGCTGACTATGAAGAAATCCAGCTCATGAGGTGGAGGCCTTGTCAATACCTATGGAGGTGGATGTGACCGAGGAGACCTGGAGCCGACAAGCGTGTCACACTTGCTCCATCAGAGTCCTGCTCACCTAAAAAGTAAAGGCCTTTCAATGTGACAGGCAGCAAGCATTTATCGAGACCAATAAGAATGGCTATTCAGGACACATCGAATCAGGCAGAAGCCCAAATAGTGTTCTGATCAGGAGACAAAGGCGAACAGAAGGACAAACGGAAGGACAGAAGTACATCCACAGAAGGAAGATGTTTCTAGCAGATAACGTAACGTAGAGATGTTAATTCTAAATAATGCTTTCAATTTTCATGGCATGATGTTGCTTACGCCCAGTCCTAAGGTTATTTCGCCATGTTTTAATATTCTAAAGATTGGAGGCATAAGATGTGCACAGCAGTTTCTCTGGAACAGCAGCTCCAGCTCCATTCTAAAGTGGCTCCACTTACGTTTTGTTTTGCTTTAACAGTCCCGCTCCCAGGGGATTTAAAGAGCACTTTGCAAGGCTGCAGTTGCAGCAGGTCTGGAGTAAGCCACAGGAAAGGGCTGGCTGCTTCCCCACAGGCTGATTCGGACTGTGGAGAGCCGGCCCCAGGCTGCTGCCTTACTGTGCAGGAGTGGGGTGCTGGTAAACCGTCCTGGGAATTTTGGCCAGCAGACTGGGTCGTGTGTGTCCCCAGTGTTGAAGAGGTTCATCCTTGCATTTTAAAGCAACCACTGAGCTACCTAATGGTTCAGGACATCCAAAATGTCACCTGACCCCATCTTCCTGACCCCATCTTCCTGCAGACGCTCCTTAACTGCCCACATTCTTGGCAGTTTTTGATTCACAGCTTTGTTTGAGCGCAATTTACATAATTCAGTGGAGACTCTGAATAGCTAGCTCTCTGGACAGATTAATTGCTTCAGGGCTAATGTCCCTCTGTCTCTCTGATCGTCCGTCTCCTGATTTCTTGCCTGCACTTGACCTCACCTGGCCGCACTCACGTGTGCCGTGCTGTGTGTGTCCGGCCAGCTCGTGGAAGGTGCTCCGGCTGCACCACTGTGACAGCTCTGCTGTGCTCGTGCCTCAGAGCACGGGGCAGCTCCCTCAGGAGGACGCAGGTGCCATGCACGGGGAACCAGTGCTGGTGTTACCACCTCCAGGCATCCTGAGTCCGTAAACTTGGGGCTAGAAGGGCATCATGTTGCCTCTGTGGAATTGGCTTGTCAGGAGCACCAGAAGGGACGGCTTGGTGATGGCAACCACAAAGGGCACTGTTTCCTTCATGTCAGACTCACAGCCTGGACAAAGTTCAGGGAACAGGCCTGTGTCCCCAAATGTGCCTCCATTTCCTAGTATCCATCAGACCGTAGGTGACTCGAGAACATTCTAGACTTCCAGGCACTTCTCCCCTCTGTCCATACCTGGGAGTAATCCGGAATCTGGCCAGCCACCCGCAATCATAGCAAGAGACCACCTTGAACCTGGGGGCGGGAGTACCCGAGAACCCAGCAGCCCTGGGTGACTCATGCATGTGTTTCCTGCAGTGCACGGCCAGCTGTGGGGGCGGCGTGCAGACCAGGGCCGTGCAGTGCCTGGCGGGCGGCAGGCCGGCCGTGGGCTGCTTCGTGCACCAGAAGCCTGCAGCCTCCCTGGCCTGCAACACTCACTTCTGCCCCATCGCAGGGAAGAAAGGTGAGTGGCCCGAGCCCCCGGGCTCAACCTCGGCATGTCCCGGTGGGGCCCTCAAGTTTCTGGAGAGGTTCCTCACAGGGCCTGAGGATGTGGGGGTGCCCAGAGTTCGGGTCTTGCAGCTGATGCGTCTCTCCTCATCTTTCTTACCCTTCTCCCGTTTTCCCATGAAACGGCCCCATTTCTCACACCTCTCCTGAAATGACATTGATGGGGATGAACTCATTCTAGTTTTAAGAAAACATGATGTCTTTTCACTTTATTCAGAGAAGGCAAGTTTAAATAAAGCAGCGCTCCCTGCTAAGCCCACCTAATTCGTTGGGCACTCCCTAAACACCATCGACCCTCAAATGCCTAAGTGGTTTGCAGAGACAAAGGGCCTGTCTGTCGTGGCTTCTCAGAGAGGAGATAGAGCTGGGGACAGCGAGTGGATTGGCTCAATCAGAGAATTAGATGACTGAAGTGCTGTCCCCAGAGGGCCCGTTGTCTCGGGTGGATGAGTGTTTGAGTGGGTTGGATTAGCACAAAATGACAGGAATTTCAGTTTTGTAGGGACAGACTAAGAAGGATTTTATGAAAACAGCATGGCCCCATTTCACCTTTAGAGCCGCCCAATCCTGGCAGCTTCAAGGCAACAACAAATTTACTTTGCTTTGCCATCAGTTATCAGCTGGTGGCACCGGACATGGCGTGGGGGCATTGACTAATGTGGAGTTTGCTGGCTTCCAGGCGCCTTCTGCAAGGACCACCTGCACTGGTGCTCCCTGGTGCCCCAGCACAGGATGTGCCGCCACCAGTTCTACGGCCAGCAATGCTGCGAGACGTGCTCCAAATCCAACCTGTGAGTCAATCGGGGCCACCTCCCAGGGCCAAGAAAACACCTGTTTCCAGCACTGTGAGCTGTCCAGTCCACATCAGAATGTGTCCAAGGAAGATGGAAGCCAGAGGAAGAAAAACTGTTAGGCTCTTTGACGTGTGTGTGCGCGTGTGTGTGTGCGCGTGTGTGTGTGCGTATGTGTGTGTGTGTGTGTGTGTGTGCACGCGCGCACACGCACCTGTGTACACACAAGCACATGCTCTCGTGCTGCGTTGGAACCTGGAGGCAGGCGGTAGCCTGCTCTGCAGGATGGGAGCAGTGCTCACCAAGCATTCGTATTTCAGCTAAATCAAGTCAGAAAGACAGGCGGAGCTGAACGTGCTAAACACTAAATGTCTGGTGCTTTGTAAAAAGAAAGAAAGGCCACGAAATTAGAAATCAGTACAAAACCCCTGCCGTGAAGCATGCTGGCCTCCCTCCCACTGCCAAGGCCCCTGCCAAGGTCAGGGCGAAGCAGCCTCCTACCAGAAGCAGGTGGCCAGGACAGCTCCGGCCATGTCCCCAGGGCCCCGTCTTCCTGCCCCAGCAACCAAGTTGCTCTTTGAAGGGACTCAGTGCCCAGACAAGAGCTGGATGTCCTTCTCAGGGGCACCTGCCTGCCCGGGAGAGGCTGGACTGTGTCCTGTGGGATTTTGCCCCTGGAAACAGGGAAATGAAATCCTTACTGAGGTGCTCCTGTCCCTTCAGACTTGTGTGCTGGAGGAGAGAGTTTTTTATTTTATCTTTCTGTTATTTACACATGAGTGTTCCTACTCGAACCCACGTCTTCACGGTTTCCTTTTTTAAAGGACAGAATTACAGGTTATACCAGAATTAGAAAATGTCCAGTTACACCAGAACCCTGCTGTCCTTGGGAAGGGTGTGGGTGGCCTTTCTCTCACAGACGTGGAACCCAGTGCTTCATTTTTGTGCACTGTGGGGCTTTTTGTTTCTTAAATGTTGGCTGTGTTTGTAAGACCCATTCAGAAGGCAGGCCACCGGCTTCCTGATGGTGGGCGGGCGGCGGGCCCAGCGTCCTCTGTCAACAACACCGGCGCTGCTTCCGTTCTTTCCCGTGATGCAGCTCCATTGGGAATGGGCACCTGGATATTTATATTTGCTGAAGTTTTATAATAAATTTTATATGGTACACCGTACCTCTGAACTGCTCAGGATTCTTCGTGAGGTTTGCGTCTGCAATGCAGAGGCTCCACAGAGACTGGAAGGCTGTCTCAGAGAAATGGGGCTCTGGCACCTGACAGAACGTGCTGGAACTGGTCTGAGGAGAAAGCGCCCTGAAGGCGGAGGCTCAGGCAGGACGGCTGGTGACCAGGAATGGTGGCTGCCAGTGTGGGGGTGGGCAGTGCTCCTCGGGCCACCCAGCGTGGTGACCACGTTTTCTGTGGCTCCCACTGCAATCTTAGCAGGGTAGGTGTGGCCTCCCTGGGTGGTGCCACAATTAAAAGGCGGCCCCTGACCCTGGGATCCCTGCTTTATTAGTCAGGATTCTCTAGAGAAGCAGAACCAATAGGCTATATCAGGGGTCGGCAAACTGCGGCTCGCAAGCCACATGCGGCTCTTTGGGTACTTTCTGTCTTAGAACTTTGCCGACCCCTGGAAGAGCCAGTCCTGTCCCTCAACAACAACAATTTAAAAATTATTTGAGAGCCATAAATGTATTTTTACATAATCACCAATGTGTGAACAATATGCTTTAAAAATGTTATAAATGAAACTATGATAGTTTTATTTTCATTTTCAATTTTAACTTCAGAGCCTGTGGCTCGCAAGCTGCAGTTTGCTGACCCCTGGCGGCTCTTCCGTCTCAAAAGTTTGCCGACCCCTGGGCTATATAAAGATTTATTTTAAGGAACTACTCACATGATTGTGGGGGCTAGCGTGTCCAAACTCTGCAAGGCAGGTGGCCGTCTGGACACTCAGGTGACAGTTGGTGCTGCAGTCCTGGGTCTGAATTTCTTCTTTTCAGGGAAGCCTCAGTCTTTGCTCCATGGCCTTCTACTGACTGGATGAGGCCTACCACCCACATTAGGGAGAGTAATCTGCTTTGCTCAGTCTACAGATTTCAATGTTAAATATGCTAGCCACATGTGAAATGCACCTTCTCAGCAACATCAAGTCTGGCATTTGACCAGACAACTGGACATCATCATAGCCAAGCCAAATTCACACATAAAACTAACCATCACACCTCTGCCCATTGGCCTGGATTAAATCAGCCCTAATAGTGTCCCCAGAGGAGCTGCTGCTACTCCTGGGATTAGAATGGACACCTGCCCCCTGGAAGGTCAGCTGCTAGAAGTGCAGCTCCTGGCGAGCAGGCCCGCTCAGCGTGGGGACCTCCCGGCTTGCAGACAACACCAGCTGCTGACAAGGCCGGGGCAGCCCGGACCACCTTGGGAGCACGTGGGCCCACCAGTGGGAGGTCAGCCGAGTCCCACGTCACAGACGGAGGCTGACACAGGAAACCCGCCGCTTTCCCTGGAGTCACAGCGGGAGGGGCTGAGCTGGGAATTGGCCCAATCCAGGTGACTCATGCCAAGACACCCCCGTCTCACCCCACTGGGGCCCCCCAAACCTCTGTCATTCTGGCAGATTTTCAGTCGTCCTCTGTCACTGGTTTCAATAACCCTCACCTGACACCTGCTGGCCTGGCTCCCTGAACAATGCTGAGATGGCCAGACATGGTCCCGTCTTCATGTTCCGTCAGGGAACTAACATGGCCACAGAGCGATATCGGACAAGGATAAGCACGGGCAGAGGACACGGACCCTCGATCCTGTGATGGAGGGAACGTAGACCGAGAAGGGCCGCCTTCACCCTGGGTGCTCAGAGCGGGGCGCAGAGTGTGAGCAAGAAGCAGAGAGACAGGACGAGGTGGCGGCCTCCAGGGGACTCTGCTGGAGGAGACACATGGGCGCAGAGGTGGCTCAGGGCAGCCCGGGGTGAGAGCCGCCAGCCGGTCCTGGGCCAGTTCTCTCCCTCCAGAGTCTCCCGTCTGTCTCCACTCCACCCCTCCTTCCTCTGGTCCCCTCCTGCCCCGGGAGGGGCTGGTGGGGAGTCCCGCTGAGTAGGGGTCAGTGTCTGACCACAGCTTCCTCTGCTCCCTGCTGCCAACAGTGTAGCATCAACACGGTGGGGCTGCCTCTGCCCCCGACATTTATTCAGCACTGCTGTATGCCAAGCACAGACACGGGCACTCTATGTGTATAAACCCCCATGTGGCCCCCACGTGGCCCTCGCAGCCATCCCACTGGGAAGAAGCACACGCCTTCCCCATCGCCTGCAGCCTGCGCCCCGGGAAGCCCCCTCGTCCACTGATCACGGGCTGGTTACGGTCACCTGTGCAAGCTGCGAGCTGCCCTGAGTTCCCAGAGCATCTCACAGACACGTGGCCCCGAGCAGTGCCTGGAGCTGCCTGCCCCCAGGCCCAGAACCCTGCTCTGCCCACCCACACTGCTCCGGAAATACCTGGCAGCTGGGGACCTCTTCCATCAGCAGTGATGAGAGCTGGGGGGTTTTTTTTCTGAACCTGACTTAGCATCTCCTGAAAATGCTTGGCCCCAACATAGTGCAAACATGAACTCTGGGCCCTGACACGCACCCGCTGACTCCGCTCTGGCTCTCTAGGGGACGGTGACTCATCCGCCCTCCTTACAGCTGAGGAAGGCAGGGCCACCCCCACAGGCAATTTGCTCCAGGCCCCAGTGGTGCAAGGCAGGACCCAACACCAGCTGTCAGACCCAGTGCCCCCACCCCATTCCCTCTTATGTAAGAGATCGACCCCAAGGGGCACTGGCTTGGAACAGGAAAGACAGCGCCACCAAAGACAGATGGCGCTTCCTCACCTGCCCGGGGTCCACACCCATGAGGTCACAGGAAATGGCACGGTGCATAGAGCTCTGGGGTGCAGGTGCTTCTCCCCTCAGCCTCCAGCCACCTCCAGGGCCCGTGCAGTTCTGACAGGCCAGCCTTGGTCCCCTCTGTGGCCACACTTGGAGAAACAAAAGCCCAGGCTGTTGCAACTGCTCGAAGGAAAGACAGATGCCACCCAAATGCCCAGGCACCTTCTCTGGTCCTGTCCCAGCCCTTTTGTTATTTCTCATTCAGTAAAGGAATCAGACACAGAGTGAGTGAGTGAGTGACTGTCCCAGCATCCCCCAGCTAAATGGGCGACTCACAGGTCACATCTGTGGGGAGAACTGTGTGGGGTTACTGTTTGCCTGCTCCCCCTAGGGGCATTTGTCCTCTGGGGAAGATGCCACTCATCCAATACTTAAACAACAAGAACAAAGTCTAATTTAATACAATGCAGAGCTGTCTTTTTCTACCTGTGGGTAGAAGTGGCCCAAGGGGTGGCCCTAAAGCCTTTTGCTTTATGCTGGATGACACATTCAGTCCCTCAGGCCTCTGTCTGCTTCCTAAAAGGAAGCCGGGCACCTCTGGGTGGGACAGCCCTTCTCACTCCAGCCCCACCCATGAGGTGACACTGGGTTTGCATTTCGCCAGCACCCTTGCTCTGTGGATTGGATGGGGCCACACATGAGAGCGGAGAGAGCAGAGGAGCTCATGGCTGGTTCAGTAAAACCAGAAAGGCCTGGGCGTCGCTGCCCGGAGACCAGCATCGCCAGCGTCTCCTGCGTCACTCTTTCTATCGCCCCAGGCTTGAACGGACAGTCACAGAGGCTGCAAAGCCGAGGGCAGAGACGCCCTGCCTTTCACCAGCTCGAGTCACTGCAGACTCTCCCCGACAGCCGCCTGGTCCCCTTCTATGGCTGTGGGCCCCAGCAGAGCCCCCCAGGGCTCCCACTGTGTCAGCATCCATAGGGAGGCCCTGCATGGCACATAGTAGGGTGTATGCTGCACATAACCAGGAACAGAATGAACAATTCAGAGCAGCTACCCCATCTGTCACACCTACCATGTGCCAGGCGTGGGGCTTGCTCGTGTTCTCCACCAAACAGTGCCCCGTCCCTGTAGCCCCTGTGCTATCACAGTCTACACTAACTACCTGTGTAACCTTGGGCAAGTCACTTCACTTCCGGGCTCTTGGATGTATTATCTATAAAGTAATTACGTCTTCAAGATTCTTCAGAAATTCTAAGGTGCTAGCCTTTCCATTTTACTTGCTATTAATAAACTCATCCTTTCCTGGAAGTCATGAGTCAGCCCTGAGGACGGTCCTAGCTAGGTGGCGACAAGTATCCTGTTCTGCGTAAGGAGCCAGATGAAGAGGGCTCTGGGGACTGGAGGGTCATTTGGGCAATGCCTGTTGAAATCCTGACACCTATACTCATACACTCGCAGACCCCAGGGGGTGGCAGAGCAGAACAGAACCTACCTGTAATTTCCCGAGAGGCCAGGTGGGTAGATTCCAGACCAGTCTGCCCAGGGGTCTCCAGCAGGAGCTGTGCCCGGGCCTGGGTGCCTGCAGACTCGCCCTGGCAACCACCTGGCTCCCGTCCATGGTCACAGGCCCCCGCAGAGCCTCCCAGGGCTCCCACTGTGTCAACATCAGCCCATGAGTCACAGTGACAGAGAGCTCTTCTGCCCTCAGGGGTTTTGATGGCAGGCCCGGACAGCTGGCACCCCGGCTGGGGACTGAAAACAACAGAGGGTCTGTGGTGGGATTACGAATCATAAGAGCTTTAATCTGAAGTCTGGACAGAGACTCAGCCATACCCCTGTGCCCTGGCACTGAGACGCAAGTGAGCGACGTGCCCTGGCGGGAGCCCAGACCCCATAAGCCCACCAGATGGACGGCCCGGAGCCCGGGGAGGGCAGCTAAGCACACTTCTGCCTGCTTTGCTTACACAGCTGGTGCCCATGGTCTTCTCAGGGGTTGGGGAGGGCAAGCCAATCTCTCCAGGAAAATTAGGTCAAAACCTCGAGGTGGACGTGCGCACCGCAGCTATCTCCACGCTCTCCCCATGGCGCCATTTCCTCCTCCTTTGGCCGCAGGACTCTGGGGACCAGCAGCTCCCGCATCTCCTTCAGGCAGAAAAGCACGCTTTCCCATGGGGGCTTGGAAGTTCCCAGAGCTGTCCTCCTCCAGGGGACGCCTCCCACACATGCCCACGGGGTCCGGAAGGCCCATTTGTCTCCTGGAGCCGAGGCCACGGAAC